TTTTAACAGATTTTGACATCTTCGGAGCTTCCCCCGGTGGCGCTGGTGGTAAAGAATCCAGCAGCCAATGCCTGAGACACGGGAGACGCGAGTTTAATCCCTGGGCCAGGAGATCCCCTGGAAGAGGCCATGGCAACCCACTCTGGTCCTCTTGCCTGGAGAATTCCGTGGCCAGAGGAGCCTCATAGGCTCCAGTCCATGGGGTTGCAATGTATTGGACAAGACTGAAGTAAATGAGCAGACATGTAACATCTTGCTGGTTCCATCACTAATTAATGAATAACTGAAAATGTCGACGCAGATTAAATTTGACAGTGAGCCTACCTGTTTATCCCCTGTTTATTGCCGCTGATCAGTTATCATGGCCTGGGTATTAATCACGGTTTTTGTAACTTTCTAAATTTCCTGATGCTTTGATTTCTTGGGGTCTTGTGGACCCGAAAGACTGCTGGGGGTTAGTCAGTTCCTGGAGACAGCAAACAGCTCCCCCACCAGCAAGCTTGTTAAACCAGTCCAGAGCCCATGCCCAAGCACCTCCTCCATCAGGCTCTCACGCTGTGGGCCTCTATGCTGCCGCTGTTTAGCCATGCAGTCGTGTATGACTCTGCAATCCCATGGACTGTAGTCTGCCAGGCTCCTCTGTCCATGGGATTCTCCAGGCAGAGATACCAGAGTACCTGGCCCTTTCGGAGGAGGCAATGGCAACCCACACCAGTACTCTTGCCTGCACACTGCAGGCACACAGTCAGGGTCTTTGGGATGGAACTGCAATCATGTCACTTGAATAATCTTTGAAAGAAAAAGCCCAGAGGAGAGTGGAAGGTAGAGCAAATGTGGGCTGTGAAAGAAGGGGCATGTGACCAGTGCCTTCGGGGGTCTGTCCCATACTGGTTAACATGTCTGCAGAAGGCAGACTGAGGAACAATGAGTGAATTTTGTGGGGATGAGTGTTGGCACTACATGGAGGACACTTGTTTTCTGACCACCTGGATTCAGTGAAGTAGAGATGGACTGCTGCGGGTCATGGGTTCCCTGGTGTGAGAGGCAGCATGCAGAGGCTGAGGCAGCTTGGACAGATGCTAAGCTAGAATCTTAATTAAAAAGTCTTGGATCTAGGTGGCTTTGCATCTTGCTCTGTTGACCTCTGATGCATTTGTTATTTCTTTAGTAGCTAGTTCAGTTCAGTTCAATTCAGTCACTCAGTCATGTCCAACTCTTTGTGACCCCATGAATCCGTAGCACGCCAGGCCTCCCTGTCCATCATCAATTCCCGGAGTTTACTCAAACTGATGTCCATCGAGTCAGTGATGCCATCCAGCCATCTCATTCTCTGTCGTCCCCTTCTCCTCTTGCCCCCAATCCCTCCCAGCATCAGGGTCTTTTCCAATGAGTCAGCTCTTCGCATCAGGTGGCCAAAGTATTGGAGTTTCAGCTTTAGCATCAGTCCTTCCAAGGAACACCCAGGACTGATCTCCTTTAGGATCGACTGGTTGGATCTCCTTGCAGTCCAAGGGACTCTCAAGAGTCTTCTCCAACTCCACAGTTCAAAAGCATCAATTCTTTGGCGCTCAGCCTTCTTCCCTGTCCAACTCTCACATCCATATATGACCACTGGAAAAACCATAGCCTTAAGTAGACGGACCTTTTGGCCAAGTAATGTCTCTGCTTTTTAATATGCTATCTAGGTTGGTCATAACTTTCCTTCCAAGGAGTAAGCGTCTTTTAGTTTCATGGCTGCAATCACCATCTGCAGTAAATTTTAACCGTCTGTATCTTATGATGACCTAGACGAGAAACTGTCATCACAACTGAAAATAAATCAAAATAAGAATTAAAAATTTTAAATGTTGGGACATCCCTGGTGGTCCAGCAGCTAAGACGGTGTTCCTGATGCAGGGTGCTGCGGTTAGGGGACTAGATCCTACAAACCACAATGAAGACTGAAGATCTCGCATGCTGCAATTAAGAACAGGTGCAGCCAAATAAATACATAAATATTTTTAAAAGGGACATTTGCTTTTATTAAAATTTTTAATAATTGCTATGTGTATCCAAAAAGTAAACAAAACTAATGGGTATACAAGTTAAAAAAAAAAAAAAACCAAAAGTCACCGTGATACTCTATTATAAACAGCTCCAATAAAAATCATGAGATGTCACAAGTGTTAAGTGACTGCAGATGTTTTGGGACCATCACAGGACTTATGTTTTCATCTAAAAATATTAAGCTGTTTGTAATTACTTTTATGGGTGAGTTGAACGGTGATTCAATTTGCTACCTCCTAATATTGGAAGGTCTGATGCTGAAGCCGAAGCTCCGTTAATTTGGCCACCTGATGCAAAGAGCCAACTCACTGGAAAAGACCTTGATGCTGGAGAAAGATTGAGGGCGAGAGGAGGGTGGCAGAGGATGAGATGGTTAGATAGCATCACCGACTCAAGGGATATGAATTTGAGCAAACTCTGGGAGACAGTATTCTGGCCTGGAGAATTCCATGAACTGTATAGTCCATGGGGTCACAAAGAGTTGGACACCACTGAATGACTTTCACTGGGAGACAGTGAAGGACAGGGAAGGCTGGCCTGCTGCAGTCTATTGGGTTGCAAAGAGCTGGGCATGACTTAGAGACTGAGTAACAATAACAAATGTGGAAGATGCCAAGTCCTGCTGGTCTGAATTTAAAAGACTAAGCAGCTGTACTTTCTTTCTAGGGCTTAAACCTAGGTTTCAGAGGAAACAACTTCTTTAAGGAAATAGGAAATGTAAAGGAGGATTTCTGGTCATGCCTAAATTTAACAAAGGAAATATGAGAAAAATCAGGGTATAAAGGATAACATTAAAAATTTTAATTGAGCAACTTTATTCAAATAATTTCCAAAAATCCAGAGTCATGTCAATGGAACCAATTTCATTGAAATTTGCTTTGAAGGGCAGACAAGTGAAGCAAGTTCTCGCATGTTCTTGAGAATTAAAAAATACACAAAAATCAGTTAATGCAAAGAGGGAATACTCCGAAATAACTTGGCAATAGATTTTCAGCTTTGAGTTTTTCTGACACGAAATCATTTGTCTTTTCCATCCTGAAAGATGTGTCATTCTTTCCTCTAGGGGGAAAAACAAAATTGAGTACAATTTCACTAGAATTTCCAGTGCCAGACCCCGAAAGCTTAACTGTTATTTACTTGTGTTAGTCATTCAGTCGTGTCCAACTTGGTGAAACCCTGGAACCCACCAGGCTCCTTTGCCCGTGGGATTGTCCAGACAAGAATCCTGGAGTGGGTAGCCATTCCCTTTTTCAGGGGAAGATATATTTACTCCATTGAATATACATGAATATTTGAGTCATTATAAATACCCTAAGGAATATAAAGGAAAAATAATAACAGTAGTTCCTCAAGCAGGCAGTGCAAACTGGTGGTGAAGACCATGGGCTTTCAAATCCTGGCCCAGCCATGCATGCCTGTATGGATTCAGGAGTGAAGACCACATTTCCTTGGGGATTTCTTTGGTGGCCCAATGGCTAAGACTCCACACTCCCAATGCTGGGGACCCAGTTCAGTCCCTGGTGGGGGTGCTAAGACCCCGTGTGCCACAGCTAAGAACTCCCACGCTGCAAATAAGACCCGGGACAGCTAGAACACACACACACGCACACACACACACACACACTGTGACCTGGGACAGCTGGAACACACACACACACACACACACACACTGTGCCTCAACTAAGACCTTCCTCGCTGCAAATAAGACCTGGCATAGCTGGAACACACAGGCACACAAGACCACATTTCCTTATTTATAAAAAGAACTAGCACCGCCCATTGGACAGAACCTATCTAATCAAAGGGTTCACGTGGGGCTTAAAGAAGGAGGGTGTAAAAAGGGGTCAGCACAGCCTGGTACATGGAGGTTGGGTTCACAGCTCATGAAAATTTGGTCATTTTCCTCAATAAATATATAATCTTAAGCACAGAATATTAAGTAGAGAGTTCCCTGGACTGCAAGGAGATCCAACCAGTCCATCCTAAAGGAAATCAGTCCTAAATATTCATTGGAAGGACTGATGCTGAAGCTGAAGCTCCAATACTTTGGCCACCTGATGTGAAGAACTGCCTCATTTGCAAAGACCCTGATGCTGGCAAAGATGGAAAGCGGGAGGAGATGGGGATGACAGAGGATGAGATGGTTGGATGGCATCACCGACTCAATGGACATGAGTTTAAGCAAGCTTCAGGAACTGGTGATGGACAGGGAAGCCTGGCATGCTGTAGTCCATGGGGTCACAAAGAGTTGGACACGACTGAGCAATTGAACTGAACTGAAAGAAAACAACACAGAAGACGGTTAAGCATGTTTGTATCATGGTTCTGGAAGGAGCTGTCAAACCAAACCCAGTCAGATCCAATCAGCCTGTGGAGTGACATGGAGTCAGATGCATTGTCAGGAGCCCCACGTGTGGTGCGCTGAAATGCTCGCTGGGAAAGCTGGCACGCAGCTGAGGAAGTTTAGGAACTGACAGCAGCCTGTCCACCCTTCCTCAGCTTGTCTCTGGAGAACATGGTGCCCACACACTAAAACTTCAGCTTAAGGGACCCGCACAAGCTAAACCGTGGCTGAGGTGGGGGCTCGGGTGGGCTTTGATTTGGAGGGCAGGAGGCTGTGGGCTGTCTCTGGGCTGACTCCTACTCTGTTCCCAGGCAGGAGTGAGAAGTGACCAGAGAGTCGCAACTCCCAGATCAGTTTCACGTCCAACAGCAATTTTCTGAGTGTGAGATAAAGAAGCTGGAAATGGCAGTTTGCCGAGGATGGATAGGGTCTTAAGTGATGCTTTTTAGAAACACCCCCAAAGTGCATTCCAGTGGGAAATGTGTAAAAATGCTGATGTTGGAAGAAGGAAAAGAATTTGGGAGAACGTTTGAAAAATTAACACCTAAGAATCATCAGACACCCACATTCAGCAAACAGAAACGCACCTTCTTCTCTTCTCATTTGGGCTTTAAGAGTCGACTTCTTCCGCGGGCCTTGGCATGGCTCTGCCCACAGGTGAGAAACCCCAGGGTCCGGCCCCCTCTCTGCACACCTGAGGGTCTGATAATCGGCGTCGCTTTGTGGGGACCTGATAGCCCAACCCGGCAGCAAGAGCAGCATCTATCGGTGGAGGGGCCCCAACTGTGTTGGAAGCCAGCGGGCTTCTTATGCTCTGCTGGGGTGAGAATGACAAGCTTGGGGGACCCCGACAGCCAGAGTCTGGGTTGAATTTTCCTGAGAAGCCTTCTTTTTGATACTGAACTGCTGCACGTGCTTTATTTGAAGGCGCCTGTGTCTGCTCAGGTGACTTTTGGCAATACTGCTGATGAAGCTTGTCAAATTTTTCTTTAATATCATCGTAGTGATCCCTGGCAAAGCCTAGAGGTTGTACCCTGGGTAGTGAAATGGCTTTGTTGAGTGGTACTGATTTGTGAAACTTTCCCAGATCAATTCCTGGACAAACAAGGTCAACGGTCTGCTCTAGGTGGCCTGGACTGTGTGTGGGGTCGGTCTTTGAAAGTGAGGGGAAGGGACCACTCTTCGGCAGGCAGCTACCCTCTCTGGTGGATCTTCTGCTCAGGCCTTCAAAGGCCTCACTCAGCCTCTTAGCTTTTGATCTGCGGAGAGGGCTGCTCAGCCCATACGCTTCTAAGCCCTTGGGGCTACCAGGGCTCACGGGACTACCTCGGTACACATCCACGGCTGAGGAGCCGGGCGGGTAAGTCAGGCTGGGCCGCTTCCCAGGACTCAAGCAATACTCCTGATGAAGCTTGTCAAATTTGATCTCGATTTCCTTAAAGCGACTCCCCGCCTGGCCCTGTAGGACTCTGGGTCTGGAAGCTATTTTTACAGGAGAAATCAACCACTTTAAGGTCACGAATCTGTTTTCCTGATCAAGATCAGACACTGCTTTGGAGTCTAAGTAAGTCAATGACAAATGCTTCTGGGGCATTCCCTGAAGCTCCTTCCAAGGTGAAGCGAATGTATGGATCTGGGGTTTGTTTACTTTGAGAAGAGCCCTTCCTGATTTTGAACCCATCTTAGAGGCAGAAACATCGGGCAAGTTCCCGCGATCTCTTAAGGCCACCGCATCCTCCAGGGGCTTGGAGCAAGGTGGACGTCTCTCCTGGGGACTCCGCCGAGAGCGCCCGCCTCCTCGGCAGCTCGTTCTGTTCATTCTGCCCTTACACCTGTGCCTCCACCTGGAGTTCCAGTTCTGGCCGATGAGCGTTTTGGTGGAGATGATGCAGGAGGGCCTGGCGCCCAGCAGCCGGCTCATGGAGTGCAGCATGCCCGCGTACAGGTCGCTGAGCGTCGCGTTGCACACGTCCTCCGCCTCGGAGCAGGGGCTGCTTGAGAAGCTGCCGCCACCAGTCCCTTGTAAGGGGATGCCGTTGCCCCTCGGCACCACGGCCAGGCCTGCTGAGCAGGAGTGAGAGGTGTCACCCTCCCTGGGTGATAGAGGCGGCTGGAGTGGACCAGCAGGGCTGTCTTCAGAGGCGTCCCCGCAGTATCCTGGAGAAACATACACACAAGGCAAAGCCATGTGACCATTTACAGCCGTCCACACGCAGAGATCAGTTTCCCTGGTGGCTCCCGTGATAAAGAATCTGCCTGCAATGCTGGAGACCCAGTGTTCGAGCCTGGGTCAGGAAGATCCCGTGGAGGAGGGCATGGCAACCCACTCTGGTATTCTTGCCTGGAGAATCTCATGGACAGAGGAGCCTGGCAGGCTACAGTCCATGGGGTCCTAAAGAGTCGGCCACGACTGAGCAACGGACACTTTCATATGCAGAGATCAGGGAAATGAAGGCTGGATCATGACCAGCATGGGTTTTTAAAAAAAGTTATTAGCTTTAACTGAGATATAATTCACATATAACATTATGTTAGTTTCAGGAGTGTAACATTGTGATTTTTTTGTTTTTAAAGCAATACAAAAAAACAAAAGCAACAAAATTTCACAAATATTTGGGAATAGGCTCTTCTCAGAGATTTTTTTTCCTAGTTATCAAAACAATTCACTGTCCACTGACCTTCCTAAAAGGAGTCTTTCTTCCCTGTATGACGGTTTAGAAGTGGTTCCCTTGTCAAAGACTAATTAGAAACCAGATAATAATGACCCTGTCTGCCAACAGGAGTGTGTGGGGAAGGGATTTGTTGCTGCTTGGTCGCTCAGTTGTGCCTGACTCTTTGTGGCCCCATGGACTGTAACCCACCAGCCTCCTCTGTCCATGGGATTTCCCAGGCAAGAATACTGGCATGGGTAGCCATTTCCTTCTCCAGGGCATCTTCCCGACCCAGGGATTGAACCGAACCCACGTCTCCTATATCAGCAGGCAGATTCTTTACAGTTGAGTCAGTGTGGAAGCAGGAGGAAGACACAGGACTCCTGAATACAGCTCTTCGCACAGCTTTGACTTTTTCATCAAGTAAAATGCTTTATATATTAAAAAAGTGAAATCAAACCAACAAAGATGAGGACAACTCTAAAGATGAATATAGGAAGGAAAAATGATCCTATCTCTATGTCATACTGACAACAATCAGAAGAGAAAATAGAATCCAAATAACTCTGAACATGCTCCCCCTGTGGGACCAGGTCTGAGGATAAAAATGCTGCTTGGAGATCCGGAACCTTCTTCGGCTCATGGTCGAGCCGAGTCGGTACCAGGTGCTGTGACTCTGAGGCTACTTGGTGCTTTGCGACCAACCAGGAGTACCATTTTCAGGTAGGAGGGAGGCCACTCTGGAGTCAGGGCAGGGGATGAAGGGCTCAGAACCCCCCGGGGACAGGTCAGAGGATCCAAAGCCAGGATGCAAGGGGCTCCTCCAGGCTGCACGTGGGTTGAAAATGGACAACAGATTCCACTATGTGAATTAAAAAAAAAAAAAAGGCCTTGAGTTCTTACTGATTCTGGAAAAGTTAGAAGAAGGAAAAGCATGTTGGGGAGGATAAAGTAAGGGGTAAAAAGGGGACAGAAGGGACAGAGTTCAGCCTGTTTTACAGAAGAATGCCAACAAAGGGGACTTCCCTTCTTAGAGAGTAATAATGCACCACTGACGCGCACGTGTCTCTAACAGTTCATGGTGATGAAACATGCCCAGTGAACAGGGGTGGGGTGGGGGACGGTGCCCAGCTAAGGCGCCGTGGAGCTACTGAAAGTGAATGGGCTGCTTCTGTGTCACACTTACCCTGGGCAGGTCTGGTGGGTGAGGCCAGTGACGGGGCCAGGGTCACACGGGTGTCCTTTCTCTCTCTGTAACCAGCACACTGAAACCAAAGCAAATGACTTTAACAAAAAGAAAAGAGAAAAGTCGCTCAGTCACGTCTGATTCTTTGTGACCCCACAGACTGTAGCCTACCAGGCTTCTCGGTCCATGGGATTTTCTAGGCAAGAGTACTGGAGTGGGTTGCCTTTCCTTCTCCAGGGGATCTTCCCGGCCCAGGGATCAAACCCAGGTCTCCTGCGTTGCAGGCAGACGCTTTACCATCTGAGCCACCAGGGGAGCCAAAGCAAATGACTTTAACGAAGGCATTGCTAAGTGTCAGCTCTGGCTGCCCCCACCCCCCAGGGCCAAGCCCACAGGAATTGCCCCCAACCAGCATGACTGAACCGGGATGAACTGTGCAGCTTCAAAGCCCTCTGCCCAAGGGCTGGGGCCCTAATGGACCCTGTGAGCTGCCCAGAACACGGTGGGCAGCCGATTCTGCTGCCTGAGGGGACAGGCATCGGGGAGGCTGTGAGCGAAAGAGTTTGGAAACTGAGATGGTCTTTACAGGATCTGGAGTGAACCAGACATAATCACACCTCACTGGGTCTCGAGCCTATGGTTTGCTCTGAGGGCACACTCAGGGACATACATTACCTCCAAACACCCTTCATCCTGCAGGAGGATATCCACTTGCGTCAAGTACTTCCTTCTCAGCTCATTTTTCGAAGGGCTCCAGGGCACTGTAGGCTGACACCGAGACACAAGTCAGTATCTGTGAGCGCTGGTGGGCATGGCTGAGCTCTGGGATTCGGGAACACACTGGCACGGTCATCAATGTATATGGGTTTACACGGAGTTCCTCGAAGTCACTTCTGCACTTCCTGCTGTTAGCAGGACAGAGTGTTCCAGCCCCTCTGAAAATCTACCTGACCTGGAATCTGAGTCTAGGGAATTTACCCAGTGGGACCAATTCAAAAGGAAATAGACAAAACATACCAGTTTGGAGAAGTTTTTGACAATATGACTAGCATCAGGAAAAAAAAAAAAGAATCAATAATCTTAGGTGAGTTTAGGACACACTAGTAGGACCGATCCCAGCTGGTGTGTCTATCAGACAAGAAGTTCAGGGGCTTCCCCGGCAGTCCAGAGGTTAAGACTTTGTGCTTCCACTGCAGGGGGCATGGGTTCGATCCCTGGTCAGGGAACTAAGATCCCATGTGCTGCATCCAAAATATAAAATCAGAAAAGAAAAAAAACAAAAAGCAGCTCACTGTCCAGCTCTGGGGACAGGGACAGTGGCCCCTCCTGTCCCTCACCTGCTGTGCACCGTCTGGGGCGGAGTCAGGGCCCGGGGCTGCAGCTGGAGTGGGGGTAACATAGACACCCCAGGGAAAGGCTGACACCTCGACTACCTACTCCCCTTCACTACCACTCCCACGGAATACCTCCAAAAGCACCCCTCTCCCCCTCGCCCAGGGCCACCCCCCCGATTCTAGTTAGACATGACAGGTCACACCTGGGTGTATGGGAAACCTCTGTACTAAAGGAATGAGTTTAGAGGAAAACCACACGTCAGCTCTTCTAGCATCTGACCCAGGTGGCAGGTCAGAGACTTGGGTAGATTCTGTCCCGTTCATTGTCGTCCATCTCGAGGGCTGACCTGGAAACACTCCCCAGAGCACCTCCCCTGTGACACCGTCTCTACAGGGTATGACCGACCTAGAACCCAACTCTCCACATGGCGAGGTCCTTCAAGGTCAAGGGCGCACTGGGAACCACAGCTGGGGTTGTTCTGTGTGCAGAGGGAGTAGCACCCAACACTGATGAAGGTGCAGTGAGACAGGCTCGAACCCAGGCCGTAAGTGCTAAACTGAGAAGGGGCAACATGCTGCCTTAGGGGAACTGAACAGGGGGTGCTGAGACTTGAGGGGTGGCATTAGCAAAGAGTGAGCCTCAGAAGGGGCCTGAAGGAACATGCCGGTCACGAGAATGTTCACCTGTCCCCAAACCCCAACTCCGTCCCTTCGTTACAAAAGGCAGGGCTCACCATTAAGTTCCCAGCAATCACTTCTTCCTGGAAGAAAGTTGTATCAGCATCACTGCTTTTTGAATCTAAAAGCAAAAGAGGAAATTTCCATCAGAATGTCTTAAGAAAGCATGTATATTTTCTCCCAAGGATAGTTTTGGCATTACTTGAGTATATACTGCGGTGAAAACTCCTGTTGCTTCAAGCAGTCCCTTGTAACAGGGACGTGGTCATCTATCGCCATGCAGAGAAGCCATCAGAACAGGAATATGCCCTGAGTCAGGGACACCAGGAAAGCAGCTTTTTGTAAGACCTTTGCTCTTTTGATGGCCTCTCATCCTGAAAGCTGAGTGCCTGGAGGCCAGCACCATCTAATAGAAGTTTCTGCAATGATGGAAAAGTTGCCCCTCTGCTGTCCAGGATGTCAGCCACGAGCCGCACATGATGGCTGAATACTTGGAATACGGCTAGTGAGGCTGGGAACTGCATTTTAAATTTGACTTCACTTTAAATGAATTCGAATAGTCATGGGTAGCTAGTGGTTACCACACTGGACAGTTCAGCTCAAGAACCACTTCTAATTATTTTAAGGAGCCCAGGGAATTCGGGGACCTAAGGCTTTATGGAGTTGAAATCTGGATTAATACCGCTAAACCAATGACACCCATGAGCAAACATCTCTGAGGTCTTTCTGTGTCCAGCACCACGCTGTAACTGTGAGTGAGATGGCTCCCTGGATGAGTTGAGAAGGAACCACCAAGGGACTTTTCAAAGGTTTTAGTTTTTCAAATACACTTGGAGAAAGTCCTAGCGAGGAGCCTTGGACTTGGAGTGTGAAGGCAGACAGAGACACACGTCCCGCCAAGAGTCCCCCCACCCCGACCCGGCTTTCCAGCACCAGGACCACTCACCGTCGGCTGGTGTGTTGGGTGGGGACAGCTCGAGATCTCCAGCTGGGACTTGCACGGGCCCTTCTGTCCTGCCATCCGTCTTCACCGGAGAGACCTTGACAAGATAAGCTTGGTTCAGACGCAACGTATTTCAAAGCCACTGTCAAGTAAAACACCTCTGATCCCCCCAGTTAGTGTATGAGAGAAAAGGCAGTTTTCCAGGGGTTTCTCTTCTAGAACATTCCAGCATCAAAGGCCTCAAGACTCCTAGCAGATAGTTGAGCTTCCCCTTGGAGAAGGAACAGAGCTTTCTTCCTCTAGTGGTGCCCAGGGCTGCTGTCTCAGAAACCACTTGGATGGTGAGTTATGGGAGCAGGAAAGTGAGAATGACCAGGTCTAGCTCGGCCCTGGCATGGTGGTGAGCTCGGGGCCAAAACCACACAGGACAGCACAGTCCCCAGATCCTCAGGTAGAAGCTGGAAACTCCAGAGGCCCCTGGGGGACTCTCTGTGACTTTTTATCTTAACAGTGACTGGATCTCCATGTTGTAAAGGCCTACAATTCGTTTAAAAGCTTCAGTGTGTAGTGGGACCCTGGCGTGAGGAGTCGCCTTCCAGCTGAATCCGGCTACAGGGCAGTCAGCTGTCTTGACCAGGACTCAGGCTGTGGCATGGTCAGCAGGCCAGGCCCAAGGAGGTGGTACACTCCCCGCCCGCCCCCCTGAGAGCCTGATCTGCCCACCAGCCTTTCTAGTTGTATTGCGTTGCATTAGTCACTCAGTCGTGTCGGACTCTTTGCGACCCCATGGAGTGGAGCCCGCCAGGCTTCTCTGTCCATGGGATTCTCCAGGCAAGAAATACTGGAGTGGATTGCCATTCCCCTCTCCAAGCCTTGCTAGTACCCATAACTAATACCATGGATGGGCTCTTGTTAGGGAAATTTGAGAATTCAAGATGCTGGATTGTCTAAAATCTTTTAGGCCCACCTAGCTTTGCAAGAACCAGAGTGAGAACACAGCAAGGCCTGTCCCTTTAAGAGCAGGCCTGGGGCATCACCTCCTAGATGTCTGTGAACTCTGCCTCGGGAATGTCACTGCCTTTGCCTCGGGAGAGGTGGGACCTGATGGAGTTTCCGGAGCTGTCCTGTGTCTGGAGGCGTCACAGTTGCAGAAGACATGCGTCTCAGTAAATCCTTACACACAAGAAATCAGGGCAGGTAACGTGAGAAAGGGGCTTCCGTGGTGGCTCAGACCCTAAAAGAATCTGCCTGCAATGCAGGAGACCCTGGTTCCATCCCGAGTCTCAGCTGGCAAAGAATCCGTCTGCAATGTAGGAGTGAGTGAAGTCGCTCAGTCGTATCCGACTCTTTGCGACCCCGTGGACTGTAGCCCACCAGGCTCCTCCGTCCATGGGATTCTCCAGGCAAGAATACTGGAGTGGGTTGCCGTTTCCTTCTCCAGGGGATCTTCCCGACCCAGGGATGGAATCCAGGTCTCCTGCGTTGCAGGCAGACGCTTTAACCTCTGAGCCACCAGGGAAGGGGTTGGCAAGTTCCCTTGGAGAAGGGATAGGTTACCCACTCCAGTATTCTTGCCTGGAGAATCCCCATGGATGGAGGAGCCTGGCGGGCTACAGTCCACAGGGTTGCGAGTTGGACACAGCTGAGCGACTAAGAACACAAGGTGAGAAAACCACGGAACAACGCCCCCCAGTGGCCCCTGGGTGCAGTTCCAGCTCATCTCCACCTTTATTCACATCAACTTTCCTCTCCAGCAGGGCATGCTGGCAATAAAACGACGTGAATTACCTGCATGTGTCCTGTGCTGCTACTCTTCACTAGTCTTCCACCCCAAATTCGCAATCCTTAAAAAAAAAAAACAAATAGTAATTACCACTTAAGTCATCATGAACACTGAGCTTCAGCTTAATTTGTACTCAAAGAAAACCTAAGGGACAGGCAAAGGAAAGATCTAATAAGATCAAGATATAACTAAGTCACATTACTGACAGTCTCTTGTTTCTCATCTTCGTGAGGTTGAAAGTCTCAAAGATGAAAATCTCATCTCTGTGAGATTTCAAAAATCCACACCTGACAAATTTATCATGAACGAAAATCTCTCCTGCCTGTAGGGAGCAGCTCGTTGAACCCAGGATTAAGCCAGAAATGAAGCAGAAACAAGGAACATACGTATGCCAAGCACTGTCCTCAAAACACATATATTGAGAGCAACCTATATACTACAGAGAGCGAGAGATACTAAAAGCACTTTTCAAGGGCTAACTTTCTACTCCATGGACAGAATAAGTGCTTTCTTGGGGCAATCTACACATTATAGAACAAGTCATAGGCACAGGAGTAAATGCTGAGTTTTGGAGCCCTGCACTTACTAGCCAGCAGAATCTGGGCAAGATACTCCCCAAATCTCCACTGGCTCCTAGGTAAATTCAATTTAATATGAGATGGTTGTTGATAACAGCTGCAAAAACTCACTTGGGGCTTACTGTTCCAGGCTCTAGTCTAAACCTTCTCCAAGTACACCCCATTCAGCGTTCACAACTCACAGACACATGCCTTGTACGCTACTTCTAATTCCTCTGGATAGACACTCATCAAGTTCACTGTATAGATGGAGACAGAGGCGAGGAAAAAGTGAAATAACCAGCCCAGGCTATTTGTCCTCGTGGTGTGGCCAGGCTGGGAACTCAGGGGGAGTGACTGTCTACTACGCTTTTTGGCCTTTCCAGAACAGAGTGATCCCTGAATAGAGATGCCTGGACTCAAATCAAATCTTTGCTACTTTGGCTGAGTGACACGGCAAGTTCCTTGACTTCTCTCTGCTGTAATCTCTTGCATGAAACAACAATCCTAATAGTGGCCTACCTTGCAGGGTTGTTGAGAATCAAAAACCTGTGACTGTTAGAAACTTACCCTACAGTGTAGACTGGAACTTGCTTTAAATTACAGGGATTCACCCTGCAAGGGTGGTCAGCTAGCACGTAATCAGGAAGACCACTCCCTGAGTACCTCTCCAGGGAAAGCTACAGGTCAGGGGAGCTGTGCTCCCATCAGCTAGGAGGCTGTAGGAACACAGAACCACCGAATTCACATTTAGCATCACTGTCAGTGAATCTGTTTGTACAAGCCCTCCAGGTCTTCCACATGCTAAAGTGCTTCCTGCTATGGCTACCATTCTTGTTCTTATCTAACTGGAGTCCGAAATGAGTTTTCACTGGTGAAATTAGTGACGTTCAAGATACATGGAGTGAGCAAAATATTCCAGACATTGCCCATCCCTCCATAAACAGGTCAAGGGAACACACTAAAAAGCCTGTTGATAGCACACTTAGGGATGATTTCTACATACTCCTGTGTCCAGCCTTCAGGTTAGACACAGGCCAGATGAACAAAACTTACCGTTGGAATACATTAGCTTCTGTCTATAAAGACTTCTCACCTAGGGTGTGTCTGGTCCAGCTAAGAAAGCAGAGCTAGGATTCCATTTCATCAGGAACTGATTTGTGTCTGTCTGCCCAGAACAGGCTCTAAGATTCACTTTCATTAGTAGGTAAAATTGAGTCAGTAATAAGGCTGAAGGGCTTCCTGGGTGGCTCAGCAGTAATGAATCTACCTGCAATGCAGGCAACACAGGAGACATGGGTTCAATCCCTGGGTCAGGAAGATCCCCTGGACGATGACATGGCAACCCACTCCAGTATTCTTGCCTGGAGAATCCCATGGACAGAGAAGCCTGGTGGGCTACAGTCCACAGGGTTGCAAAGAGTCGGACACGGCTGAAGCAACTCAGCACGGATGCACAAGGCTGAATGACAGACACTGACCTCACCCAGTGCAAACTTTTTCCAGCTATTTACCCAAGAGAATAAATGATTTAAGTCTGTTTGCAACATCAACCATCAAACAGGATGGCTCCTCCTTAGATGCAGGTCAAATTCCAAAGTACTCAGAACCTCAAATCAAACAGGTCAAATAACAGTCAATAGAGTGTTCACTAGTGCCAGGCTCCATCTCCTGTAACTATCACAATATCTAGCCAAGCAGCTGTTACTGTCATTATCTTTCCACTTTACAGATGAAGAAACCAACTCACATTCTGGCTAAAGCAATGAGCCCAAGCTGAGATGGCTATTAAATGACCAGCAGGGATGCCAAACCCAGACAAGCGCATTTTTAACCAGGATGCATCTATGTGTCATCGGAATTCTGTCTTCATAGGTAACTGTTGGAAATAGCTAATTCAAGTGATTGATAGGTTCAAGGGAACTAGTGATGTATTAATGCCTATTAGGTGAACAGGTTTATTTTCCAAAAGAGCAGGGACAGCATTTCAAACTCTATTAAGACACTATTCCAGTTACACTCTTAACCATAAATAATTCAGAAAGTGGGGGGGGGTGGGGTGGGGGTGGTGCTGATTCGTACCGTGGGGCGTCTGGTAGGTCAGCGTGGACATCTGAACCACTGGGCCGTCCTCGAAGGGCTGGTTGTACTGCGGGAGAGGAAGAAGGGGCATCCCATCAGATCGAGGGCGAAGAGGAATCCCTGACCCGGGCTGAGAAGGCGCCAGCGCGAGGCTGTAAGTCTACGGAGCCCCGAAGCACCCCCCACCCCAACCCCCCGCTCCCCAACTCCGACCCGTCCCTCTGCCCCACGGTCCCTGCCTCCTCCTTCCCCCTCCATCCCGCTAGCGGGAGGGGCCGCACCTTCTCTATCAACTGCTGCATGCGCCTCTGGAAGCGGCAGCGGCTGTCCCTGAGCTTCCGCAGCAGCTCGTCCTCCGCCAGGACCTCGCCCTCCATGGCGCGGAAATCTGAGACCCACTCCAGCAGGAAGCCGAACAGGGAACATTGGCCCGCGTAGCGATTCAAATAGCTTACGCCCGCCCTTCCGACACGCCCCTCAAGTCTCCCATTGGCTGCCTCTTGAAAGACCGATCGCTGATTGGGCCTTTCAAACAGGTGGCGTCTCTCCCTCCCGGCCAATCCGTGCCCGCGTTTCCGATCCCGCCCTGCCCGTGGCGGGCCCAGGCAGCGGTTAGGGGAGGAGGAGGGGTGGGGGAGTGGGAAGCTGTCTGCAGCTGCGCGCTGGGAGTTTCATGGCGCGGTGTTACTTGAGCTAGCCCGGTGCCTGTTCATCAGTAGAGCCAGACGAATAAGATTTCCCCTGTCGTGAACCGGAGATGTCCAGGTGACCTGCCCTGGGACTCGACGCCTGTTGGTGGGCGGGAGGCAGCCCTTCACCTGAACCTGGCCGTGGACCCTGCCCGGGGGCCGGTTTCCTCGCCCCTCCCGCCTCGGGTCCTCGTTGACGAGAGCTGAAAAAGACATCACGGAATTACGAACACGCAAGGAGGCAGGAGAGTGAACATGCATTTAGAAAATAAACGTCCCACGATCCAGGAAACTCGCAGACGGTATTTGAATTAACCCCCTGGCACATAGTTTTCATACATGGTTTTTGTTGCATACTGGACTCCACTGATATTAATTTTGTAGTGTTTTCTCTAGAGAATGGATAACTCAGCGCCATCACGGAGCCCGTATTTGTGTTTGTACTGATGTGATTATACCATGATATGTGATAAAAATGAGTATAACTTGGAGCACGATCAGGACTCTTGGGCGGGGCTCTTCACCTCCTCTCAGCCTGCACCCCTATGCTATCATGCCATCCAGCAGATATTAGGGGAGACGGGAGAGAGAGAACTTCAGGGCTCAGGTAGGAAATATATTTCAATGGACACAGAGATGTGCTACCCAATTCAATCTGCCCACTTCCGTGCCAGGCCCCAGCGGCCAGGAGGGTTTTTCCTGGGCACCCGCTGCTGTCTTCAAAGATTGCCTCAGTTGTTGAGAGCCCCTCACCCACGATCCTGCAACCACCGGGCGGCCCAAATCCAATAAGGGCTCCGGGTGGGAACCTGAAGAGCTCCAGGTTGGTCTTTTCAGTCAATAAAAAGCAATCTGATGGGCCATCCTTGTTAGTTCACCTGAAGAAAACGGACTGGTCTTTCCCTTCCTTTCACAGCCACAATCTGGAGGACACTCCCTAGCAAACATCCTTCACCTTAACTCTGTCTCCCCGTCTGCTCCCAGGAGATTCCCACCTGTAACAAGCACCTTGCTGCAAGTGGCCACTGAATCTATGCATCCTATTTGTGGTTTTCCCAATTTTCCCAATTAGGCTCAGTTTTCTGTCCCCTCCTCCCTTGGGAGTGCTCATGAGTTTAGCGTGCTATGTCCTAGACTCAGTGTTTTCACATAAGTCCGTTTTAGACATGTAACTCATCACATTTAGAGACTTGAGAGGTCCCAACTGACCTCTCCTCGGACTTGGTCCTCACTCCTAGGAAACCACTCGCGGGGTCCTGGGCTTCCCTCCCTCACTTCACGGACTTGTCCAAGGATGTGCTTCTACCCCAGGGGCTCCTGGACAGCGTCTCAATCTCAAATCGGTACCTTTAATGGAACATATCCACTTTGGCCACACCCCTGCGAACCAGCTGAAGCAACATTGACCCCCGCTGGTCTCCCAGTCCCCAGTGACGGCTTCCCACGTGCCACGATCCAAAATAGTGGCCCAGCTAAGGAAAACGGAGCCCTCCACGATGCTCCTAATTTGACACCATCCCTCCAAACACCAGGGCTTCCCTGGTAACTCAGTTGGTAAAGAATCCACCCGCAATGCGGGAGACCTGGGTTCGATCCCTGGGTTGGGAAGATCCCCTGGAGAAGGGAATGGCAACCCACTCCAGTATTCTGGCCTGGAGAATTGCATGGACTGTATAGTCCATGAGGTCGGACACGAGTCGGACACGACTGAGCGACTTTCACTTTCTCCGAACATCACTCCCACCCTAGTAATCTAAATATGTGGCCTCAGGAAACAGACTGCTTTGCAAGCTCCTTCCCCACACTCCCCAAAGCCCAGGACGGATGACGAGTCAGGTCCTTCCTCGGCAGCGGAAGTGGCTGGTTGCCGCACCTCCGCGCCCCCCGGGGGTTTTTTGGTAGGTGGCCGACAAGTCGGCGGTGCTCAGCTCTGCCGCCGCATCTCCGCCTCTGGATGCACTTGCGCAGCGCCCTCTGCTGGCGTAGCCAGAATCTTCACCCTTGAAGTGCTGTTAAAATGACTTCGACAAAGGAATCAATTCTTATTTGAATGGTTGCACGTCCGCTTTGGTAAAATGTGCCACAATTTTAAAAAAATGTAATAAATGGAAATGTATTCTTCTCAGAGCTGCCATGTGCGTAGTTTTATCTTGGAAAGGGATGGAAGTGTCGCTACCTCTTATTTCTGTGGTCAGAGGTGCAGCTTTTGGCTGGTCCCTTTGTTGACACAAAAACTGCTATCTAACAGTGAAAACGTCGCCGGAGATAAATTACTAACCATAGCATCAAGCTGATGCCCTCCGCTGCGAAGAAAAGAGTTTACTTTCTTTTGTTGTTACCAGGGCTGATGGAAGCAAAGAGACTGTAAATAGCCAACAGCAAACTGACTTTCCAAAAGGTGTCAGTCGAAGTTCACAAGAGGTGTTTATTCTTTGATTTAATGAGCCGACTTCTGTCCGTTCTTTTTTATTTTTTTAAAATTATGAGAGTATAATAACACACTTACAGGAGACTTGGAAAATATGGAACAAAGTTACATATAGTTCCACCATATATTACAATTATTTTTAAAGTAGATAAATTAAGATTTTTAGTTGAAATCTCAATAAACTCTCAAAAATTAATAGAATGAATAGACAGGAAAGCAGAAGGATAGAGTAGACCTGAAAAGCACTCAACTAATTCAACATAGATAAGGTTTATACAATTTTCACACAGCAGCAGGATACAAATTCTATTCAGGTTTCCATAGATTATGAGCCAGGAGACACTAGAATATATCCAGGAACAAAAAACAAGGTGCAAAAATTTCATAGTCTAAAGGTATTGAAATCATACAGAGTCTGTCCTCTTTTCACTGTGGCATGATGTTAGAAATCAAAATCAAAAGATATTTGAAAATAACCCACATATTTTCAAGTAATAAGCCTACTTTTTGAGACCTAAGTAGTAATCAAGTAAGTAAGCAAAGCTGTGGGCAAGGATTTAGCTGTAGGATCTTTAGTGAAGCACTGTTTATCAAGTCCAGTAATGGAAGGATGGTTGAGTGATGGATGGTGATAATAGATATGTGACTGTGCTCCATTTAACAATTTTGAAGAACTGTGTTTATTGGCACCTAAAATGTTACCTTTTGGACATCACAAACATATATATTATATACTTGCATTTAAAAATATATATCAGGAGTTTGTGATTAACATATACACATTGTACTGTACTTAGTGGCTCAGTCGTGTCTGATTCTTTGTGACCATAGACTGTAGCCTGCCAGGCTCCTTTGTCCATGGGATTATCCAGGCAAGAATACTGGAGTGGGCTGCCATGCTCTTCTCCAGGGAATCTTCCCAACCCAGGGATGGAGCCCAGGTCTCCCACATTGCAGGTGGATTCTTTACTATATATAAAATAACCAACAAGGATCTATTGTATAGTATGGGGAACTATATTTAATATTTTGTAGTAAATTATAAGGGAAAAGAATCTGAAAAGAATATATTATACACCTACACACACACACACACACACACACACATATATATATAACTAGGTCACCTGAAACTAACATAACATTATAAATCAATTATACCTCAATAGAAATAGAAACATGAACACTGAAAGTTCAAAAAACATTTCAAAAAGATAATTTTGTATTTCAAAAAAAGTGAAAAATATACATGACATATTGCAAAAAATTTGAACATGAATATATCAAAATGTTTCTAGTGTTATTTTTGGATGATGATATTATAGATTATTTTTAATACTAGTTTTCCTTAACTGCCTTTTCTACATTGAACATTGCTTCTGCTATTATGAGTATGATTACTCATGTGATAAAAAAACAAAAACGCAGCAGCACCAATTGTATGTTTTTCTTGATTCTACAAAATTATTCACCCAGGTAAGACATATATGGCTCCAAACATTGTAAAACTGCTGTCCTACAGCTGATATAATGCAGGGCTAACAGCAACACACTCCCCTCGGTTCAGCTGTTGAGGGTGGTCCTGTTCTATGACACCTCTGGAGTTTCTACCGAGACGGACGGTTCCAAGGGCCATCACTTGGAAGCATTCTAGGGCATCCTTGGACCAATGTGGACACTCACTGGACCCCCTGAGCCCAAACTCCATTTGTTCTTCATCCCTGTGGCTAGATGATGCTCCTCAACAGTGATCTGAGTTCTAACTAATTTCCTTGAGCTCTTGTTCCTGAATTTATTCTGTTATCCGAAGTTGTTTGTTGTTCAGTCGCTAAGTCGTCTCCAACTCTTTGTGACCCTGTGAACCACTGCATGCCAGGCTTCCTTGTCCTTCACCATCTCCTGGAGCTTGCTCAAACTCATGTCCTTTCAGTTAGTGATGCCGTCCAACCATCTCATCCTCTGCTGCCCCTCCTCTTGCCTTCAATCTTTCCCAACATCAGGGTCTTTTCCAATGAGTTAGCTTTTCACATCAGGAGGTCAAAGTATTTTTAGATTCAGCACCAGCCCTTTCAATGAGTATTCTAGGGTTTGTAACCAAATAAGTCTTTGTTTAAAGTAATTAGATCTAGGGCTTTGTATAAGATCGTTGGACCTTTTGGACCTTGGCTCTGTCTCTTTGTTTTGCATCCATAGTGAGTGGTGGTCTCATGACCCTTTCAAAGTACTGCCATTTTCCTATTTTACCATGCTGAAGCCATAATGGGAGCTTTTGTCACTAGCGTTCTTTCTGTTAAGATAGTTCAGTTCAGTTGAGTCTCTCAGTCATGTCCGACTCTTTGTGACCCCATGGACTGTAGCACGCCAGGCTTCCCTGTCCATCACCAACTCCCAGAGCTTGCTCAAACTCATGTCCATTGAGTCAGTGATGCCATCCAACCATCTCACCCTCTGTCGTCCCCTTCTCCTCCTACCCTCAATCTTTCCCAGCATCAGGGTCTTTTCCAATGAGTCAGTTCTTCGCATCAGGTGGCCAAAGAATTGGAGTTTCAGCTTCAGCATCAGTCCTTCCAATGAATATTCAGTACTTATTTCCTTTCGAGTTGATTGGTTTGATCTTGCAGTCCAAGGGACTCTCAAGAGTCTTCTCCAACAGCACAGTTCAAAAGCATCAATTCTTTGGTGCTCAGCTTTCTTTATAGTCCTATAAACTATAGAACTATAGTTAAGATAGTTTCTCTATAGTTAAGACAGTAGAAAAGTCTATGTTATTTGTGTTTTCTCTTATTGTAGCAGAGACTAAATAAGGCTAAAGTCTATATGGTTTAAAATATGCCTAAAATATATCAATATATGATGTACAATAAATTTATATGCTAGTTCTAATTATCATCCTTGGAATTGTCCATTGCACAATCAGGAATACACACTTTTGGGGAGGAACCAGTTTATAGAATAAATATTTTTCTAAGTAATCACCCATTTTTTTTTTTTTGCAAATGAAAGATGTTTTTATCTTTTATATTATTTTAATTTAAATTTAAGAATTTACAATGTTCTGTTGGTTCTGCCATACCACAATGCAAATCACCCATAATCACAGAACTAGAACAAAACATTTCACAAGTTGTGTGAAAACACAAAAGACTCTAAATAGCCAAAGCAATCTTGACAAACAAAAGCAGAGCTGGAGGGATCAACTTTCCTGACTTCAGTCTATACTACCAAGCTATAATCATCAAAACAATATGGTACTGGCAAAAACAGAAATATAGAACAATGGAACAAGATAGAAAGCCCAGAAGTAAAATTATGCACCTATGGGCACCTTATTTTTAGCAAAGAAGGCAAGAATATACAATGGAGAAAAGATAGCCCCTTCAATAAGTTGTGCTAGGAAAACTGGACAGCTACATGCAAAACAATGAAACTAGAACACTTTCTAACACCACACACAAAAATAAACTCAAAATGGATTAAAGACTTAAAAGTTCAGAAACTATAAAGCTCTTACAGGAAAACATAGGCAGTGCACTCTTTGATATACATCACAGCAAGATCCTCTGTGACCCACCTCCTAGAGTAATGGAAATAAAAAATAGTGATCATCCATTTTGACAAGTTTATTGTTTGAAATGAGTACACAGCATTCTCTAATTTTCTAATCTTTGAAACCCAGTCCTCCTAAAATCGAGTACCCTTGCTGAGTTTATGATGAACCACTTTATACAATCCTTTATTCCCCTTTTTGTCCTTCTCCTGTTCCACTCTGAATTGAGGAGGATCAAGGAAAAGTGGGGATTGAAACTGCGCAGGACCTGTGGGTCTCTCCTAGGTACACAAGCCCCTCTGTGTACCCTGCTTCTTGTTTGTAGGAAAAGAAGTCTCCTGGGCCTTCCCAGATTTCCAAAGAACAGACTCAATCTGTTACTAACTAGGGAAATGAGGGTATGTGGAAACAAAGGAAAAGAAGTCAAGAAAAAAATAGTTCAGCATAGAACAGAGGAATATTTTCTTATATTGTGAGAGAACATTAATTTGTACAGGTTCTCATGAAGGCAGTTTGGTGGCATGTTTTTATGCCACTATAAGGACAGTTTTTAATAAATGGTGATACACATACACATATCTATGTTCCACGAACTATAATTTTGGAGAACGGTTTTCATTGGCATCTAAAATGCATGTGATTTTTAGAAAGTTTACAAGTACGTATCATATATCTGCATTTAAAATATATGCATTGTACATGTAAAAATTTTGAGTGTGTTTATCTCAAAACGTTCCCAGTGTTATCTTGGGATGATGGAATTGTGGATTATTTTAAGTATTCATTTTCCTAGCTGCATTCTCTAGACTACACCTGTATTCTGTGACTGTGAGCATGCATTGCTCATGTAGTAAAATCCCAGCAGAATTGATCCTGTGTTTTCACCTTGGCTCTACAAAATGAGAGGACATTTATCCAAAGAAGACACCCGTGGCTCCAGACCTTCTAAGCCTGCTGTTGCACAGCTGGCCAGCGTTTCATCATAAGGATGCCTCATGGTCCTGGAAGTGACCTTCCTGGCGAAAGTAGGGCCCCAGTCCTCTCTTGTGCTGGTTCTGCCTCAGTTTCGTGTGCTGGGAAATTGCTTTCTCTTCTTCACCTTAGGCTTTTTGAAGTACAAATACATTCTTAGGGTCATGATTAATGTGTTTTAATGGGCTATCCATTTTAAAAATCAATGAAAAGAACTTGCATTAAAAATAGAAGGCAGTTAGATTGATTTGGATGACCTATTTTTAATCAACCCCATTATTTATGAAAACTCTCAGGACATCTTTCTCTGGAGCATTCAAGGATCAGCTCCTTCTCTGTTCCTGTGTGTGAATAACTTTAAAACGGGGAGGCACCAGGATGGTTGATAATTTGCTAACTACTGTAGAAAGGTTACATTTTAGAGATGCGGAGGAACCTAGAGACTGTCATCCAGAGTGAAGTAAGTCAGAAAGAGAAAAACAAATATCGTCTATTAAAGCATTTATGTGGGATCTAGAAGAATGGTATGTTGTTTCTTTGTTTAGTCCCTGAGTCATGTCTGGCAAATGGTATAGACGATCTTATTTGCAAAACAGAAATAGAGACACAGCGGTAGAGAGCAAATGTGTAGACACTAAGAAGGGGAAGGAAGGGTGGGATGTACTGGAATTGGGATTGACATATATGCACTATTGATGCTATGTATAAAATAGACAACCAGTGAGAACTGGCTGTCTAGCACAGGGAACTCTGGCCAGTGCTCTGCGGTGACTCTTAAATGGGAAGGAAATCCAAAAAGGAGGGGACATATGTGTATGTATAACTGATTTATTTTGCTGTCCAGTAGAAACTTAGCATTGTAAATCAGCTGTGCTCCAGCAAAAATTCATTTTAGAAAAAGCAGTGGTTCCCCACCAAAAAAAACACAAAAAACAAAAAAAACCCCAAAGCAAAAAACTTACCTACCATAGAAATGTCCCAGGATTGCCTCTCCCTTTTCTTATTTCATCAACCTGTCAATCCATCGCAGATACTTCCTCCCTCCTATGGTTTACTGGAGGATGTCTGAAAGGCACAGAAGATATTCTGTTCTGTTTTCTGAAAAGTTTCGTTGCATCCAGTCCTTACTCGAACTGCCTTTTTTGATAATAGTGTTATCTCTTCTCTCAGCCTTCTTTATCTTTTTCTATTCAACCACCAGCACCATTGCATCTAAAGTTATTTCTTTCAATAACTCATTATCACAATTATTTAACTTTATTGTAAAATGCACAGAATTTAGATTTTTAAAAAGAAATTATCTCATTTTATATCCTGAAACTTTACTGTATTCATTGATTAGCCCTAGCAATTTTCTGGTGGTATCTTTAGTGTTTTCTATGTTCAGGATGGTGGGACACATGTACACCCATGGCTGACTCATGTCGATGTATGGCAAAAACCACCACAATATTGTAAAGTAATTAGCCTCCAACTAAAATAAATTAATTAATTTTTAAAAGAAGGGATGAGAAGCATTGCTCTACTTAAAAATAAAATTTAAATATTTAAAAATATGGAAAGAAAAGAAATTCTCCCTTGTTTTCTCATCTTCTGTGTTTTATGTCTTGCTTATATCCCATTTTTTTCTATCGCTGAATGAATTTTCTTAAATCTATAATTTTGCAAGTATTTGACAAAGAATTATAACAACTTCCATTTCAATACCTGTTCCTTTCTATAGTCCCTAAGTAGTATTTTTATTAAATTTATTGTGAAAATGTTGTGTTTTTTTATTTGAAGTATTCTTCTGAAATTAGTAATATAATTTGCTAGTGCCAGAGGAGAAGAAACTACAGAAACCAATGTCTCCTTCAACTGGAATATCCTGTAATCATTTGCAATGAGTGCTATTGAGCCTAACTGTCCACAAAGGAACTGCTTGAATTCCTTGAACCTTGAAGGGTCCTCAGTTTAAGTTAGTGTGTTAAACAATATGGACGTCCAGGGGTTTCTCTGGTGGTCCAGAGGTTAAGGTTCTGTGCTTCCAATGCAGGGAGACCAAGTTCAATCCCTGGTCAGGGAACTAGATCCCAAATGCTGCAACTTGGAGTTCCCACACTGCAAACGAAGATCAAAGACCACGTGTGCCACAGCTGAGACCTGATGTAGATAAATAAATAATAAGCATTAAAAAAAAAAAGAATATGGACGTCCAGATATAACTGAGACAATGCCATTATTAAGGCAGTGGTGGCAAAAGCTTTCTCCTCCCAAGTAGTCGCTGCTTATGTTTACTGTGCATTTTTTTAAAAGCTATTTTATTTTTTAAACTTTTGGCCACACGGAGCAGCATGTGGGATCTTAGTTCTGTGACCAGGGTTCAAACCCATGGCCCTTGCATTGGCTGCTCGGAGTCCTAACCACTGGATGGCCAGGGAATTCCCTCTGGTGCGTTTTTGACTCACCAGACTAGGACCTTGTAATGGTTAATTCCATGTGTCAGCTTGACTAGGCCACTGAATAGCCAGATATCTGGCTAAACATTATTTCCATGTCTGTGAAGGTGTTTGCAGAAGAGATAGTATCTGAACCAGTAGACTAAATAAAACTCCCAAATACAGGTGGGCCCTGGGCTTCCCCTGTGGCTCAGTGGTAAAGAATCCATCTGCCAATGCAGGAGATGCATTTTTGATCCCTGGGTTGGGAAGATCTCCTGGAGGAGAGCACGGCAACCCACTCCAGTGTTCTTGCCTGGGAAACCCCACGGACAGGGGAGCCTGGCAGGCTACGGTTCATAGGGTTGCAAAGAGTTGGACACAACTGAAGCAATTTAGCACACACACATGCATGGGTGGGCCTCATCCAATTTTTAGAGGGCCTGAAAAGAACAAAGAACAGAGGGAAAGTTTGCTGTCTCTGTCTGACTGCTCAAGCCAGGAAACAGGTCTTTTTTGTTAGGACTGGGGCATTGGTCCCATGGTTCTCAGGTCTTCAGACTCAGACTGGAGCTTCACCACCAGCTCTCCTGGGTCTCCAGCTTATAGAAGGCAGATTGTAGGGCTTCTCGGCCTCCATAATCCCATGATGCCTAATTTTATATGTATATAGCTATTTCCTACATATTTATAATTTATATTTTATTTTTAAAAGGTTGGTATCACACATACTCAAGTATGTTATACCATCTTCATTTCTCAAAAGCAGCATTTCAAAGTGTTACATGCCTTGTGCTCAGTCGTGTCTGATTCTTTGTGACCCCAGGGGCTATAAGCTGTCGATGAGATTTTCCAGGCAAGAATACTAGAACGGGTTGCCATTTCCTTCTCCAGGGGACCTTCCCCACCCAGGGATCGAACCCGCGTCTCCTGTGTCTCTTACATCGCAGGCGGATTCCTTAACCGCTGAGCCATCAGCGAAGCCAAGTGTTAAGCATTGTTGACAAAGTGTTGAGCATTGTTAAATGTCATAAAATACAACTCTGTTTTACAGTGTGGTATGGGTGCAAGTCTAGGTAGTGTGCCAATTGTAAATAGTGTAAGCAAGTTTCAAACGGAAGCATATCGAAAGGAAAGTACATAGACAAGCATTTGTTATACCGCGTGTGTGCGCGCGCATGTGTGTGTGCCCCCTGGGGGCTTATGTGCCACTTGGCAGTGGCTGAAGATCCGATGCCCCCCCACCCCCCAAGACATCCTGCTCTTTCGCAGCACGGTCTGCAGGACTGGTCCTTCCACATCAGAGCATGGTGCTTCCCATGGTCCTCCAGGATGCCACGGGTAGGATGACCCTCTTAGAAAATGTAAGGGGATGAGGAGATGGATCCTGGGGCAATCCACTTCCTGCAGCGATAACATTAGAAATAGTAATCACACTCTTCACTGAGCGGAGACTGTGCTCAGTGGTTTACATATATCATATCCATTAATCATCCCAACAAAGGAGAGAGGTCACCTGTCTTGAGGCCCAGTCTTTCAATTTGTAACCAAGACTACCTTGGGTAATTGACCTGAGCCTTAGTCATGTCATATATGGAATGGGAACAGTATCTACTTCATGGAGTTATGGAGGTTAAATAAAACAAACTAGGTAAGTACGAGATTCCCAGGTGGCTCAAGGTGTAAAGAATCTGCCTGCAATGCAGGAGACTCGAGTTTGATCCCTGGGTTGGGAAGATCCCCTGGAGAAGGGCATGGCAACCCACTCCAGTATTCTTGCCTGGAGAATCCCAGGGACAGAGGAGTCTGATTAGCTATAGTCTGCAGGGTTGCAAAGAGTCGAACACGACTGAAGTGACCGAACATGCAGGCAGGTAAGTGTACCTGGCACAACACTTGTTATAAAGTATCATGGTTTCTGATGATGTCATTTCCTCACCATGCTGGTGTGGGGCTGGAGAACAGGCAGAAGAGAGAGGCGACCTCCAAGTCACATCACGATGCCGTGATCAGGAGTGAGAGGAGTGTGAATCCAAGGCACATAGTTAAAAAACAAAGCTCGAGGGAGGTGCCATTTTCCAATGTCCTAAACCTCACTGTTTTACTGAACCCCGGAAAGAACTACCAACTTATTTTAGAGAATAACTCTTAGATCTAGCTTCACAGTTTTTAAAAAGCCTGATAGAAACTGAAGAAGTATTAGTGCAGGTAAGAGGGCAGAGGTTTCTAAATGGCTCTGGTACAGAGACTTTAGCTAAATGACTTACCTTCTCCTCTTTTTGAAGGGCAACACTTTTGGGTTTTCCAGGTGTCTGTTTGTGCTTTCTTTCTTGACTTTTACTGGACACCTACTGTGTTGCAGATGAAGCCTAATGGACCGTTTTGCCCCAGAGTGGTCTGAAACGATCACACTTCTTTGCCACAATTTTGAAAAGACTGCGAGCAGGGAGAATGTTGCCTCTCAGGCCATGACTTTCCTCCTTACCTGAGTGGAAGGCTTTTTACTAACCTTTCTGATGGCTTTGAGGCTTATGGTGAAGACATCTCTAGAAATGCCACCGTGTTGCCTCAGGTTGCATTCCATCCAGTGGCTTTTCTGTTGGAGAGGTGAGTTTCAGCTCCAGCCCCATTGGCTGGAGATTTTTATATCCGTCTTGATGTCCACTTGCTCTTTGATTGAATAAAGTCTCAGGAAGGGGAGAGTGTCCTTTAACGTCACAGAGAGGGTCATTTGATGTGAAACTGACTTCCAGGAAGTCAGGGCAAGCATCCCATTGCTGGGAAGAGCAAGTCACAGGGGACCTGACTTCACCATTCACAGAAGCACTTAGACCTGCTGCAGGTCAAGTGAAGGGCCACTCGGCCAGAGCACCCGAGAAGCCCTCATTGCTACCTACCTACACTGACCTTAACTGCAATTCCATCCATCAGGAAAGGTGGGTGAGGACAGCTGGAGACACAGCTGCAAGGAAAACCATTCCTTCCTCCTGGTTACTGGAAAGGACAGAATAATGCACAGCGCTGCCACTGAAATAATAATAGCGACACGAGTGGTGACAATAAGGGCTTCTCCTTTGGCTGAATCTTTTCTCTTTTGAATGTGAGATTGATTATCATAGAGGGCTGCATACAACATCCACGTGCAGTTGAAAGAATGTTCATAAGCAAACACCCCTGGACCTCCACAAAGATCAAGAGGGACGTTGCCAGCACCCCACTGTGTGCCCCTCCCCACTTAAGTGACCTCTGTTCTGACTTTAGGATAATAACATCCTAACTCTCTAGTTTTACAACATGTGAATGCATCAGTTCAGTCGCTCAGTCATGTCCGACTCTTTGCAACCCCATGAACCACAGTACGCCAGGCCTCCCTGTCCATCACCAACTCCAGGAGTTTACCCAAACTCATGTCCATTGAGTCGGTGATGCCATCCAACCATCTCATCCTCTGTCGTCCCCTTCTCCTCCTGCCCTCAATCTTTCCCAGCATCAGGATCTTTGCAAATGAGTCAGCTCTTCGCATCAGGTGGCCAAAGTATTGGAGTTTCAGCTTCAACATCAGTCCTTCCAATGAACACCCAGGACTGATTTCCTTTAGGATGGACTGGTTGGATCTCCTTGCAGTCCAAAGGACTCTCAAGTCTTCTCCAATACCAGAGTTCAAAAGCATCAATTCTTCTGTGAATGCATCACTAAATGATAAATTTGTTTTGGCCCGTTTTTTGAGCTGTGTATAAATGACAACCCACTCCAGTATTCTTGCTTGGGAAATTCCACAGACAGAGGGGCCTTGGAGGCTCCAGTCCCCAGAGTCATGAAGAGTCAGCCGTGACTGAGCCAAGTAAACAGCAACAACAGCAGGATACATGGCTATGTGCTATTTGGTTTCCTTTGTGATGTGCTGTCATCTCAGGTTGGTTTTCCAGGAAGAGGGCTTGAGATGGAATTTCAGTTCAGTTCACTTGCTCAGTCATGTCCAACTCTTTGCTATCCCAAGGACTGCATCATGCTGGCTTCCATGTCCCTTACCATCTCGCAGAGTTTGCCCAAGTTCATGTCTACTGAATTGGTGATGCCATACAATCATCTCATCCTCTGTTGCCTTATTCTCCTTCTGCTTTCAACTTTCCCCAGCATCAAGGTCTTTTCCAATGAGTCAGCTGTTGTTATAGGTTATCTTCGTTAATTTCTCAATGTTAAATAATCCCAGATTATGCCCTATTTGGTCAGAGTTTTGTCCCTTCTTCTGCTCCTAGATTTTACCTTCATTGATCTTTGTAAGTCAGCCTGATCCATAGTATTGTTTCTTTTCCAGTATTATTCAAATTTTTTGTTGTCTTATCATTTCTTGCTTGGTAGAGTAAATTGGGAAGTTTTTCATCACAAGTGCTTTGTGTATGTGTGTGTATTTTGAAACAGTGTAAACAACATGAGAACTATTTATTTAGCAAATTGGTAAAACCTTCTAGTAAAGCTTCTGTGATATTTGAAACACTTTTAACAAGTAGCAAATGTCTCCTGCTCAGTTCTTTAAAGTTATACATTTACACCAGCATTTCCCAAACTGTGTTTCATGGGAAACTTATTTTGCAAGCTCTTATAAAGAAAAGCGTTCTGGTTGGAACCCCCATTTAAACTAAGTTAAACCATTTTTTTTTGCACAAAATTCTCAGAACATTTGTATGCTAATTGCATCTTTAAGAGGGACTTATTTATTACTTCCCAAACTTGTAAGACCCTTGTGTTCTGCGGAACACAATCTAAGTAATATTTTAAAATATTTTTTTTGTCTCTTCCCAGATATTTTAATTTTTGCTTCTTGCTGTTAGCATGTTGACTTCTGTCTCACATTCTTAATATACAACTTGCATTCTTTTTTTAAGGATTGGAAACCATGTAACACTGGACCACCAGGGAAGTCCCAGTCTGTAGCATATTTTAAAGAGATTTCCCACATGAATAACTAAGATAAAAGGAAAATCAGTAGAATGGAAATCAAGCATCATCCAGAAGCCCCCTCCCATGAAGCTGCAGGTAAATCAGCTGGAAATCGCACACAAAATAACAAAGGCCACATCCTCTGAACAATACGTTATGTGTGTGCCTGGCCCTGTGATTTCCATTTCTTAGCTTGGCAAGTCTCAATGCCGCCTGCCCATTAGAATCACCTGAGAGCTTTTAAAATAGTGATATCTGGATGGCCAGTTGCCACCCAGATACTCGTGGTCATTGGTCTGGGGTGGCCTGGGCATTAGTGTTTTTAAAAAGCCTCCCTGAGAGCACCAATATGCAGCCCAGGTTGAGAGTCAAAGCATAGCTCATTTTATATCTCACAATGACCCTAGAAAATTAATCATTGCCTTAATTGAACAGAGAGTCTATGAAACAGGGGTCACAGAGCGAGTCTGTGATGAATGTGATTGGAACAAGGCAGTCTAAGTCTAAAGCAGACCCTCTTCAACAAGATCTATATGACCTATATACTATACTGGCATGCTAGACACCGAAGCTTAATGTAATATAGTCTGGTATTTAACTGAAATATGGGTAACTAAAAAGATATGGTATAATTCAAAAGTACTTTGTAACTGATAAGGAACTATTTAAACATGAGAAGTTATTTCTGGTTCTAATTAGTTCCCATTTACAGTCTTATTCTTTTACTGAATGAAATATATGATCTAATCAGTACTGGCTTCTTCATCCTTTTCTATGAATAAGGTCTACAAAGCCACTCTTCCTTCAGTGGGTTTGTTTGTTTGTTTGTTTTTTACTATCTAAATCTGAAATGAACTTGAAATTTAGAATGTTTGTAGAAGGCATCTAGTATGTGAATCATTCAGAAGAAAAGAATTCACACCTTGGAGTTTGAAACTGATGAAGCATTTCTGAGCTTGTAAACAAGGAACACGTCCTCCTAGGGAGGCTCTAGAGTTGGTCGGTTTGCCAGTTTTTGATGAAGCTCATAAATTACACAGCACATACCAAGCACTCTCTCCCTGACTGCTCTGAGAATACAAGAATGTCCTGAGATTACCAGGATGCAGGAGGCATCATCTCCACCCTCTTAGAAGCCACCACACAGAGGCATGCGTACTAAGTTGCTTCAGGCGTGTCTGACTCTTTGTGACCCCATGCACTGTAATCCACCAGGCTCCTCTGCCCATGGGACTCTCCAGGCAAGAAAACTGGAGTGGGTTGCCATGCCCTCCTCCAGCGGGTCTTCCTGATCCAGAGATCAAATCCATGTCTTTTAG